CCAGCTTATTAATTTATAAGACACAAAGAAACAACTCATGGCTTGCAACCCTCCGCTGACCTTTGTGTAGCCGGCAAGTGCCGTCCCTAGTGGATTCCCTGCCCTCACTGCCCACCTGATCAGTACTGGGAATGGCTGAAAGCTTTGATAAGAACTCTCCAAAGCTGTTCCCAGTGCTAATGAGATGGGCAATAGGGAGGAGGAAGTCAGCTGGGGAGCAGGGAGATCAACTGAAAAGGATAGACTTCAGCTGGCAGAAGGCATTCCTTCTAGAGTAAGCAGGTGTCAATACCCTTTTCTTCATGAAGCAGTAAATGTTCAACTCCATTGTCCCCTTACGTTGAGCAAAGACCTCTTTCTTTCCAACTCCAGCTTCAGTTAAAATTTGACATGGTGGGAAGGGTGTGAAACTTTCTTAACAGCTCCGTTTGTGGTGGCCAAAGTCTATGTCTCTGAGCAGGCTGTGTGTGGATGCGAATGAAAGGGGGAGGGGGAACCCAACCAACCGCTGGCTTGGACTCCACCCAATTGCCAGATGTGGTCTCTGGTCTACTATCCTTTACTGCTCTTGGAAACCCTGTTATAGGTGGTGTGGGGGAAAGAATGAGGAGCTCATTTTTTAAAACATTAAAATAAAGATCTGCTCTGGATAAAAAGGAGACATAAGGTAGAGAATTGCACCATCAGAGATCCCCCAAGTCATCTGACATTGATAGATCTCCCCACTAAAACATGCAACGCTTCTGATCAAGTACTCACAACCAATTGCTTACACTTTTGTTAGTTTGCTTCTGTATGCATGAAGATGTCCAAGCTGGCTGAGTTTTTCTTAGATCCATTTTTTCCCTCCTGCCTTCATGATGGAATATTCTCAAAAGCACTACTCAGGATAGTTAAAAAACCAAACAGAACCTTCTGAAAATTAGTCCTGTCAAGCCAATTTTTGTTTTGAATTTTTAAACATGCATGCACACATTGCTAAATTTTGCTCCTGTAAAAGCAGATGTAACTGAGGAAATGCAGTTTTGTATTACCTCATCCTGTATGTGTTGGGTGTGTTCTTTTATTGGCACTAGCTCTTTGAGTTATCATTAATCACATTTTCCAGTTTTTTGGTTTGAAATAAATGAGACTTAAAATTCTTTTGTTTGGCTGGATGACGCTCCTGTGAACATTTTAAAATGTAATGTAATGTAAACATGTGCCTGGAAATGTGTACATGAAGTACATCAGAGATCCAAGGCTGCCTTTATCTCCATCCTCTTTTGGACAGACTAACTGGGTAGAATTAACAAGGTATGGAGCCTGGCATCATGGAGGCAGGTTCTGCCCCTGAAAGCATGTGTTTATTTTAATACCTGAAGTGAACCTTTGTGTATATGTGGATAAACTCATTTCAGGTGCTCCATGAATGCACAAAGATCAGAGAGCAACTCTATTGATGCAATGCCACCCCTTCAGATAGTGTGCAAAGATGCTCCCCTCTTAAATATGCACACATTTGGAAACCAGTCTGCTGCAGTGCAGTGTTTAAAATAAGCCTTACTGGAGATGCCATCCTTTTGGAATGGCATGCAGCACTGAGCTGTCAACCATGTTAAAATATCCCACACATCGTAACTGTTGATCTGATTACAAGAAAGATTCAAAGACCTTCTGGAAATGCAGGGTTAGGGCCTGAGTTTCAAAATGGAGACAAGTAATTAGAAATGCCTGTGTGTTGTGATATGTGTGAATTTTTTGTTCTGTTTTTTATTTTGGCTTTGCAATATTGTGTGCACTTCTGGTTTCATTTGAATGGATTCCAAGGTCCTAGATCATGGGTAGGCAAACTAAGGCCCGGGGGCTGGATCTGGCCCTATCGCCTTCTAAATCTGGCCCACGGATGGTTCAGGAATCAGCGTGTTTTACATGAGTAGAATGTTTCCTTTTATTTCAAATGCATCTCTGGGTTATTTGTGGGGCATGGGAATTCGTTCATTATTTTTTTCAAAATATAGTCCGGCCCCCCACAAAGTCTGAGGGATGGTGGACTGGCCCCCTGCTGAAAGTTTGCTGACCCCTGGCCCTAGATAGACTCTTGTTCACTCAGTGCTCATTCTAGATAGAAGCACTTTTTGGACACAAAATTGTTTTATTAGGCCACATAAAATATTCATTCTGGGGGACGCGGGTGGCACTGTGGGTTAAAGCCTCAGCGCCTAGGACTTGCCGATCGAAAGGTCGGTGGTTCGAATCCCCGCGGCGGGGTGCGCTCCCGTCGCTCGGTCCCAGCGCCTGCCAACCTAGCAGTTCAAAAGCACCCTCGGGTGCAAGTAGATAAATAGGGACTGCTTACCAGCGGGAAGGTAAACGGCGTTCCGTGTGCTGCGCTGGCTCGCCAGATGCAGCTTGTCACGCTGGCCACGTGACCCGGAAGTGTCTGCGGACAGCGCTGGCTCCCGGCCTATAGAGTGAGATGAGCGCACAACCCTAGAGTCTGGCAAGACTGGCCCGTATGGGCAGGGGTACCTTTACCTTTACCTTAATATTCATTCTGATGAGTAGTTTGGGGACAGAATACTGTTTGAAGTGGGTGGGTCAATGGCTAGACATGAAGCATTTAAAAGAAGGAATAAGATGAATAAATAAAAGGCACTACTAATAGCCTTGCTTGCACACAAAGCATTCCACCTTTGCAGATGATGAACTTAGCCATGGATTTTAAACAGTGTGCTTCTACTGATTTTTGCTGGTTTTCAGTTGCTGGGTTTGAAATGCAAATCAGTTCAGTCTGCAGTGCTCCAGTGTATTATGAACTGAGACTCATTTCCTCAAGACCACCATTTTCGTTTCAGAATGTAACATGCTATTCTGCACATGAGTGCTTAGTATTCAGTCTGACCAAGCTGCTTTGTAGCTGCATCTGTAAAAGTTCTGTAAGGTTAACCACTTACTTGAACCATCATAACTATAGAAAGCTGGCGTAACGTATGCCGGCTTAGGTGCTCCTATTCCAAAATCCATTCAGGAGGAATTTGACTTGCATCATCCTTACTGCCAGCTAAATGCCACTGAATTCCTCACATGGCTGAGCTAAAAGAACTGTAAATCTCTCCTTGCCACCACCATATCCCCATTTGGAGACTTAAGTTCTCCTGGCTGAGCCTTGGCCAGTCAGGGTGAGGGACGCAGGTTTGCACAGGCCTCACTGAGCTCTGGCTCAACCAGCAAAGCCCAGGATTTACCAAACCCAAACTCAGTGAAACTATCCTTGAAACTCTGACTGATTGTCCCGAGACAATATGGAACGCACAGCAAGCTCTAGGTACAAGCACCAAGTACAAGTACTTTATGCTAGCTTAATTTAACCCGGCGTAATTTATGCTGTTTTCCCTTCCTTGGGATTGTTTGCTTAATGATGAGGACCTTCCTGGAATTATGAGGGTTTTGCAATCCCCCTCTCTTCTCTATATCTGTTGAAATGTCCTGCTGCAAGAAAGCAGAGACAAAAGGAAGTTCTCTTGGCATTTTGAAAGGCAACTTTCTGAACAGAGAACGGACATGTAAATTTGTTTTGAGACACTGATAGATTGAAACAGAACATTATCGGAAACTGTGCGATAATGGCAACTTCAAAACGAATGAAGAAAGATTACGGTTGTTGTGGGATCTTTACTAAGGGTAGAGACACCTGGCAACGATATATCTTTAGATCATTTATTCAGTTCTGATTGAAGTTCTCTTTGCTTTCTGTTACAAAGCACAGCCTGATGGGATCTTCTACAAATGTTTCGTAATCATTCATATGCAAAGTAGAATGCTGGGACTACTGGGATGATCCTAAAGGGAAAAAGAAAACAAAGGCACTCATTAATTTCCCATTTAAATCTGGCCCAAATAAGCAAAAACACCAAAATGCATTTGGCTACTGGGCTAAAGCCCTAATGATAATGTTTGTAGCACCTTGGCTGAGCTATCACTCATCCAGCATAATCATACTCCTCTTACCTCCCCAAATCCAAAGACGCTTTTACACTTTAACTGCTGCTTTGTGATGCCAGGGTGTGTTGATCCAACCCAATTTCATTGTTTGGGCTCATTCATTTTGACAGCATGAGCACAAATAATCCAGATTGTGGATTTGTCTTTGTCCTCATCAGAACAGTCTGCGATAGCGATCTTTTCTTAATTTATTTATTTAAAAGATTCCCACACCACCCTTCATCCCAGCCTGCTCTAGGATGGCGTGCAATGTACGTGAATAAAACTATTAATACCAGATAGAAATACAACAGATGAAACATTCCTAATGCATTAGCAAAATGAGAAGGAGCAACAGCACTTCCAAACTATTGTGTAGGCTAAACAAATCCATTTAATGCTGCATGGGCAAATAAAAAATGTTCTAACTTGGTGCCAAAAATATTGTAATGTCAGTGTCGGTCATACCTCTTGGGAGAAGGTGTTCCAGAGCTGGGGCATTGCCACAGAAAGGGCCCTCTCCTTCGGAGCTACATAGCACAGCCTCCTTTAGGGAAAGGAGTTGTAAAAGTGCCCCAATGAACAACCTTGGCATGGGCAGGCAGGGTTGGGAAGGAGTGTGCCTTCAGATACTTGGGTCTCAAGCCATTTAGTTCTTTAAAGGTGTGTATCAGCACTAGGAACTGGGCTCAGAAGTAAACAGGCAACCAGTGTAACTCTTTCAGTATGAAGCATGGTGACCAGGTAAGCATTGTCTGGGAAATGACCACAGTTGATACATCAGATGAAGCCAGTAGAAGGCACTCAATGCCACCTGGGCCTCACATGACAATGTTGTTTCAAGAAGCATCCCGAAGCTGTGTCCTTGATCTTTTAGGGCAGCGGTTCTCAACCTGTGGGTCCCCAGATGTTCTTGGACAAACAACTCCCATCATCCCTGAGCCTTGCTAGCTAGGGGTGATGGGAGTTGTTGCTCAACAACATCTGGGGACCCACAGGTTGAGAAAGGCTGTTTTAGGGGGAGTGTAGCCCCATCCAGAACAGGCTGAGCATAATCCCGCCCCCATCTTGTCAGAATTCAACATTATTGATCCTTATCCAGCCTGTTACTAAACTCAGTGCATTGGAACAGCCTCATTTGACCCCGATGACAGAGAGAAAGAGCTGGATGCCTGGAGTAAGATACGGTATCTTACTCCAAACTCCTATATCACCACACCTTCTGGGGTCATGTGGGTGGTGTTCATATAATGTTCAAGAAATTTGGGGATACAATGGAACTTATATAAGCCCTATAATGTAAGAGACATGGGGTCAAACAGAACCCACCCATGCTACTTTCTGAAACTGCCCCTGCAGGTAAAAATGGAGCTACTGCATGACTGTGCCCCCTACACCCAACCTGCAGAGGCATCCCATAAGATACCATGGGTGATGCTATCAAAAGCCACTGAAAGGTCAAGCAGAGTCAACATGGTCTCACTTCGCCTGTCTCACCACATCCCTGTAAAAAAATTAAAAAGTACATCTATCAGGACAACAAAGGACTGCATAAGTATGGGTTTGTCTGATCATCAATTAACAGCGCCAACAAAAACAAAATGGGCATAACTCACAAGGCCATTATCCTATGAATATAGGTTCCTTTTCTTCATAGCAGTTGTTCTGTAGTGTTAAAATGAGCTCAAAACTGGTTGCAACTAACACAAGGAAGCTTTGTAGCAGAGCACTAGAGCTGCCAGAGGGCTTAGCCATAGAGAAAAATGGGCAATGCCATGGGTGTTGTGTTCAAAGGTATTGGCAAGAAGGCCATCATCGTGTGTTGGAAATGGCAAGATATCCTGGTGTTCTGCCAGGAATGGAAATCTTACTAATAAAACAAGTGGCTTCTGTTAAGAGAAAAAGCTGGACCATATTAAAAAATTAAGCACCAACCCTGGTTTCTCTCCCCCCACCCCATGAATCTGAATTCGATACGTCCCGAAATATCTAGGTGCTTTTCAAAAAATTCAGTATATTGCGGCTTTATTTCTAGGTTCCTGGGCACGACATGAAGCCATGTGCTGTAGCAACCTTCTTCATGCTAAGATGTCTGGCTTTTGGGGATGAGAGTCAGAATCTCCAAGTATGCCATCTTGGCTCTCATGGAAGAAAAGTGGGAGATAAATGTAATAAATAATGAAATGAGATAAATATTTTAAAAGCTAATAACTGTGACTATCCAGTAGTGTTGTTCAGCAGCATTCTGGGTCTGTTATCCACAATACAGTATTTTGATGAGACAGTTCACATCACCTTCTTCTTTTAAAACCCTTTCTATTGTTTACTTTCCGATATCCCTGCTCATCTTGTGTTTTCATTATTTCTTACTGAACAATTTCCCATTACAATAACCCTGCTGAAGTTGTGCCTAGTAAAGACTTTCTGCATTATTATATGCATGATCAGTCCCATTAGGAACAAATATTTTGGAGTTGTCTAGCTGAACTACAAAGCTAAATATGCTGCTGGATGAAAAATTCTTGTACTAATTTAAAGGACAATATTCCAGAAGCTTTTAAGGCACACCATACCTTATCAACTGGTTTAACTAGTATATTTGACTGTGTTTGTGATATATTCATTTCATAGCTGTTTTGGCAGTTTTCTTCAGGAGACAGATTCTTTCCATCATTTAACACCTGTGAATTAACTGAGTCTCTAGCCGAGCAGGACCTATTAAATAGAAACAGTCATCACCCACCTGTCAAATGAACATGCACATTTGCTGTATGTGGAGTCATGCTATTGATCTTTCTAGCAGAGTACTGTTTAGTCCACTTTGACTGACACTGGCTCTCTGAGGACTCACGACTTTCCTGGAACTGCCCCCAATATCCTCTTAACTGGAGAGGCCAGGAATTGAACCTGAGACTTGTTCGTGTTAAACATGTGCGATACCATTGAGTTATGAGCCCATGAAGTGACCTAAAACTTAAAGCATGACTGCGATGGTCAGATGCAAAAGTGGGGTCCTTTAAACAGTTGTGCTGAATAGAGAATTTATCAGGTGTAGCCTAAAAGGTGTAGCTTTCAGAAGGTGACAAGCTTTCATCTTTTGCACTACTTTAGCAATGCCTTAAAATTGAGAATAGTGTTTGGGGTGATGTCCTGCTTTGTTGCTAAAGATGCAAGAAGGCAGCAATTTCGTCTCCAACCTGTATACATCACAGTTGATGTAGTTTCCATTCTGCTGCAGTTTGGTTTCTGCCAAGTTCTATGCTATTTGCCTCCCTGTCTGCTATTTAACTTTTAAGATATGTAACTTACATAATTGACATTCATTTCAATGTAAAAGAAGCATTAAAATAATGTTTAAAAAGCTATTATGTTATCAATTGTGGACTAAAACACAATAATGATGTGAAGGAATACCAATCATAGTCGGTTAACTGTTGCTGCCTAGAAACATGTAAACTGCAGCAATTTCTGCTTCATTTTCCAGTTTTTGTCAGAATTCTCTGACATCCCTAATTGTTCTTCATACTACATAGATAAATTTTATTGTATGGTTATTTAATGTGGCAGTTGAAACAGTAAGAAAGTGTAAATTATTCCTTAAGAAAGTCATGAAGGTGGTTGAGTTCACATGTAACACCATGTCATGGTTTATAAACCATAGTTTAGTAAACCATAGGTTGACTGTCTATATCTGACCTGCAGTTTAACTATACTGTATTAGCCATAAGCAAATCACACTCATAAGCCATGGTTAGTTGGTTGGTTGGTTGTTTACCAACCTTGGTTTATGCTAACCATTGTTAGCATTAAGTGCAAACCTGGACCTCGTCCTTAACTATGTATTAGAACTCCGACTCACCTAAAAGCCATAGAGCCGTGAGTAAAGAGCAGCTCTAAAATGAAACCATTAAGAAGGCTTAGTGGAATTTAATACATTGCCTGTGCACTGCAAGCCAATACATGTTTACTCAGAAGTAAGCCTCATTTATTTTAGCAAGGCTTACTTCCAAGTAAGTGGATATAGGACTGCAATCTAATTAGTGTGAGTACTGACAAAGCCTTGCTAATTCATTGCTTGCCCAGCTTTGAGACTGCAATGATGTTATTAATCATTGCGCTCAGGTACAGAGGCCAAACATATAAATTAGTTCAAGATAGGTGTTTCATTGTTTTTTCCCTCAGAACCCTCCCAATGGAGATACGTTTTAGACTATCCACAGGGCAACAGATAGATTTTAGTCTCAGGAAAGTTTCACTGATTACATATTATTTGACAGGTGCAATAATATAATGAACCTCAATCAGGCAGCGCACACTTAGCAGAGGACGTTAAAGAGATTCATTTAGTAGTCGTGCCATGTGAAGTATTCACATTAGATGGGATAGGAGCAGATGCAAGGTTAAAAACACTCCCCCCTCCAACGGCACGTTCACACACAAAAAGTACATCACTATGTCCCCGAGACGGACGCTGAGCATGACAGCTGTTTTCACCTTTATGTGTGAGCCATCTCAAGTGACTCAAGACATCAAAATCAATTTAGCGCAACTGTATTCTGCAAATGCCCTTTTTCTCCTCCAAAGAACGTGCTGCTTCACAGAAGCATAATAGGAGCCTATTTCTTGCTTATGGACTTTGTTCAGTTTCTGTGGGTAACAGATCAGATGGAGGACTGCACATGATCCTTATTCGTGCAAGTTAGAAGAAGGAAGGTAGGTAATGGGGGGGGGGGTAAACACCTCAAATATTTCTTCACTTACACAAACTAGAGCCCAACTCCATGGACATTTACTCTGAGTTCAATCGGGCTTACGTCCAAGTAGATGTCACAGAATTGCAGCCCTCAACCTCATACCAGGAAGGTCCTGGTTTCAGAATGATTCTCTATGCTATATTGCAGATCTTCAAAGGAAAAGGAATACACACAGTTGCCTGCATATGGCAAAAGGTGGGCATGATTTCTGAAGGGCATCAAGACCAAGGTTACTGTGGTTTTTAAGAGTTGACATTCTGCCACTTTACAGAACAAAGCTTTGTGCACCCAATGACTGGGCAAAGCCTTTCTAATCACTTGGTGACAGCATTTTCTAAAGTCAGAACATCTTTTAAAGAGAACAAAAATGCCAGTTCCCCACCCACTCTAGGTTTATATTACCAAAACGGGTGTTAGAAACTGAGATATGAAAGCTAGGAGCTAAATGGCATGTCTAGGTGCGCTTTTTTTTTAAATTTAACAATAATACAAAGCGGAAAATGAATGAACTGCAGCTAAAATGTTATGTTCATTTGTCACATGGTCTAATCCTTCCCTTGCCCTACCCCCCCCCCCCAATATTCTTAAGAGGGTCTCTTCTTCAGTCTTCAGAAAGTAGCTGGAAGTGGGGAGGCAGAAAAAAAGCCCTCCTTTCCTTCCACTCTGCAGTTTTAATCTGAAATCATGGGTGCAGCACTGCGCCCAGAGCTCAGAAGCTGCTTGCGCTAATGAAATTCCTTGTCGCAAAATGTGCCTATAACAGTGGGAGTTTCGAACACTGATCAAAACACCCTGGCCTCTGTTTCACATCCAAATTACCCGTCAAAACTCATTTTCTGTTTTATTTCTAACTTTTGTTATCGTATTACCCCATGGAGAATGCAATCTTCTTGCATATCATTTAACCAAACCTGAGCATATGCATCTTTCTTTTTCGTTCCCTGGTAACTTACGTACTTAACCCCTTTCCTATGAAGTCTGCCAAAACAACATTAAAAATAGATTGCCCCCCCCACCAAAAAACCCTGCATGTAGTGCTTCAGTTACAGTGATTTATTATACATGAAAAATACAACAACCACCCCTTCAAAGGTGAATATTTTTTCCCCTTCCTTTGGTAGTGTTCAGATGACTATATATTTGAAATGCAGCTGTAGGCACAAAGACTTGTATTGGTACGAAAGTTAACAGGGAAATCAAACTTCATTCAGCCCCAGCTGCCCAGCCTTGCTCAACATTCATTTTCAGAGCTACTTTCTGGCGTTCAAAAGGCTTTCATGGCTGCTATGTAAGAAAAAAGATGGTTTGTACAATAGCTGGAGGAGAATGAGGTCGGGAAGGTGATTACAGGCAGAAATGGCACAAGTTGATTCAGTGAAAAAAGAATAAGAAAAGTAATCTTGTAGCCTTGGCAGCTTTTGCTTATTGCACCGGTAGTCTGACGGCTGTAGGGTGTTAGCCATGTGATACTGGCCTTGGCCTCTCCTCATTGCAAAGGAAATCGCCATCACTGAGTCCTTTGACAATTCTCAATCCTTTCATTTAATGTCTACTCAACAGGCATCTGTTTTGATTGCCAAATAGATGAATTGAGTGGTGTGTCATGAACACAGAACAGACAATATATCTGCATGCCTACTCTATGTGACTTCTTGTTATGTAAGTGAGACGGTGCAAGAAAAATAGTATCAGGTGACTTTTCAATGTATTGCAATAAGTTCCTAGGTCTGTCTGTCCTTTGGATTATGGGCAGTATTCTACCAATGAGTCCTGTCACTTGCACAGTGCGATTTCTCCCTCTCTCTTTCCTCTGCATTTGCCCCACACCCTCTCCAAATCTGCTGCTGAGGGTTAGAGGAACGCTTAGATTGAGAGCGAAAGGTGGGGCAGGGGAAGGGAGGGGGATAGCATTCCATTGTACAAGCAGAGATCCTTGCCCTGATGGAACATTTGCTATGTTGGGATTCCACTCTGCTCCTAAAATGGAGATCAAGTGTAGATAGCCTCATGGACTGCTTATCATGAAACTCGTCTACAGTGGTACCTTGGTTCTCAAACTTAATCGGTTCCAGAAGTCCGTTCCAAAACCAAGGCAGGCTTTCCCATAGAAAGTAATGCAAAATGGATTAATCCATTCCAGACTTTTGAAAACAACCCCTAAAACAGCAATTTAACATGAATTTTACTATCTAACAAGACCATTGATCCATAAAATGAAAGCAATGAACAGTATACTGCAGTCACACAATCAATCAATCAATCAATCAATCAGTAGCTGAACTGGGTTCCACACAGTCACAAAAACAAAACAAAAAAATGCCACAAAAATGCAAAATAAATAACAAAAACAGACAGACCTCAGCATAAAACTCAAATCAGGAAGCGTAACAATCAAAACCGAGCATGTTCAGCTTCCGAAAAAAGTTCACAAACTGGAACACTTACTTCCCAGTTTGCGGTGTTTGGGTTCCAAGTTGTTTAAGTACCTAACCAATGCACAGAGGGGAGATGGTCCCCTTCTTGATTTTTCGGAAAATAAAAATTTACTTTTTTGTCTAATTGAGGAAGAAAAGTTGCAACTTTCCTTCAGGCTGCACGTGTGAGCATAGACAACTCATTTACACACAGGGCCAGATACCTGAAAGTGGTACCCGGAAAGGGAGAATCCACCTGGCTCAGAAGGAGACCCTCTCTGGAGCCCAAAGAGGACATCCTCTTCAGGCTCCATGTGAAACATGAATAAAATTTGAGGGGAATGAGCAAAGAGAAGCCTTAGAATGCATATAACCTTGCATGAGAGAAATCTGCCCCTCTCAGTCAGATTTCATTTGTCGAATTCCCTCCTGACTATTGACTTTGGCTTTAAGAAAGAAATCAAGCTCCCTTCTCTTGTAAAAGCAGATGGAATTGCGAGATCTGGAACTCAAAGACCTTTAGGCCATTAGAGTGGTAGTTAAGGGC